GTCCTAGAAACAGAACTCGGGGCGGTCAATGGGTTTGGCAGCAAGTACCATTTACCTGTTCAGCCATCTTGCTAGTCACACTTTGAAACTTTTAAAAGAGAATGGGTAGGGTTGGGATGGAGACATTACAGACCACTTGTTTAGCACACACGAGGCCCTGACCACTGGCACTACAAATAAATAAATAAATAAATAAATAAATAAATAAATAAAGCGAGCATCTGTTTTGTCCTTTATGTTACGTGCATGGTTGTTTACATGCATGTGTGAATGTGCACCACATGCATGCATGGTGCCATGGAGGACAAAAGAGGACCTCAGATCTCCCGGAACTGGAGATACCGTGGATGGTTATAAGTTGCCAAGTGGGTGCTGAGAACCAAACTCAGGTCTTCTGCCAGAGCAGCAAGTGCTTTAATCACTGAGCCATCTCTCCAGCCACCCTCCACCCTAGCCAAGAGCACCTTGAATAACTACAAAAAAAGAATACAAAAGAAAAAAAAGAAAAAGGGTATGAATTTTTAGATCTTTCAAATTATAAAATAATATTCCTAGGCTGGCGAGGTGGCTCAGTGTTACACAAGCACAAACAACTGCTACACAAACATGAGTTCTGATCCCCAGTACCAACGAAAAGTCCCTGTTCTGTGGGATCACTGGGGCTTGCTAGTCACCAACACAGCTCCAGGCTTAGTGAGAGACCCTGTCTCCAGAGAATAAGTCAGGCAGTGACAGGGCAGGGTATCTGACATCTTCCTTTGGCCTCTGTATATGTGGACCCACCCCCAGCGCTGCCATCCCCACCCCCTCCACCCCTACCCTGTCCCTAACACCACACAATTAATCCGCAGAGAGGCTTGGCTGGCCCAGGAGCCAGGCTGCCTATTCTATTTATTATGCACATCATAATCTTGGTTAGAAATTTTGCTGTGTATCCATTTCCTCTTTGAAAAACAAGATAATAAATATCTCTAGCAAAAACGGGGGGTGGGGTGTGAGGGAGGCTAGAGAGATGTCTCAGCAGTTAAGAGCACCGACTGCTCCTCCAGAGATCCTAGGGGTCCTGAGTTCAATTCCCAACCACTACATGGTGGCTCACAACCATCTGTAATGGGATCCAATGCCCTCTTCTGGTGCGTCATGAAGACAGCTACAGTGTATATGTATGCATATAAATAATAAATTAAATCTTTAAAAAAATTGTTGAGACGCAAACAAAGGAACATGTAAAGGGCACAGTGGTTGTCATGTTTTAAGTGCTACGTAAGTATTACCTATTCTTTTTTGGCACTCAGTTTTTACATTGTTTCATAAATGTATACAAAGCTTGCCCAACTTAGTATATTATCTATGGTTTAAAATACATTTGATGCTTTCCCATGATACTAGTATTTATTTAAAAGGTACATACAAGCCAACTGTGTATAAACATAGCAGATGCCAAGGCAATTCTCTAAATAGTGCTATATAAATAGGTACGGCCCTAAGCAACATTGTATTTGAAGTGAGGAAACAAACTCCATGAAAAACTAATGTAGGATTCAATTATAGAGGTGAGCCTGGAATAGCCCTACACACAAGGACAAGCCAGACCTAAACTAAAGGAAACAGATGCATTTGCTACACTGTTCATTCCATAAATACTTTTCCTGGCCAGGCTCTGTTCTAGGCCCTGGGGATAAGTAGTAACTCATGCTTAGCACAAACTGACTTGTAGTCTATGGGCTAAAGGGCACTCACACCAGAGACAAGTTTTTCTATTTCTGTTTTTGTAATATAGGGACAGGACTCAGGACTCCAAGCATTCTAGGCCAGTGTTCACACCAAGCTACGTCCCCAGCCCAGAAGCCCAGTTTTGAAGTGAAGAATGAGAAAGGTTCACCTTCCTATCATCACTTGGACGACTTACAGACAGGAGTTAAGACTGTGCTATGGTCACTACAGCTGTCACAAATATAGAAATGCTGCATATGAATCATTTAGTAATTTTTTTTCATGTATTGCAAGTTATTTTAAATCTACTCAGTTGGGTATAGATTATATTAAGAGAATAGTTTCCATATTTCTTGATACAAATGGTATGATTTATAAATTTGTTGTCATTATTATTGGGATAGATTTGTTCACAGTTCCAAACTTAATCCTACCACTATTCTCTCTTCCCTTTTTCTCTGTCATCCATCAACAACTACCTCCAAGTCTCAAAGCTTGCAAAGTGCTTGACAGGCACGCATGTGGTAGAAAGAGTTATCACACAGAGAAGTATTCACTCCGGAAGACAATTCGCAAATTTCTCTTCTGTATTTGCCTCCCCAAAGGCCATGTCCTCAAGTAAAGAAAGAAATCTTTTGGTAAATGCCAATTCAAGGCTCTGGCAACTTTTATTTCTTCCCAGTGAGATACCATCAGAATTACCTGATATGGAACTTCCAAGATGCTAATTTACCCACTCGCACAAGCTTCCAACCTCTTTCCTCAGTCTGTCAAATCTTCCCAGCCATCTCTACTCTCTCAAGATACAAGAATCCACTACCACCCCCACAAATCAGTTTTCAAACTGTTACGGCTACCTAAATCATTAAATGGTATCTTTATACTCTAATCTTACACTGGATATAAGTGAATATGTGTTTAAAACACTTAAACCCTATTTAAAAGTTAGGCACAAGTAGCCACAATACAGAAAATCTAACATTCTCAATATTCAAATGCTCAGTGAAACCCCAACACTCTTAGCTGAGTGTAGAAGGGGACACTTTTGATCCAAGCACTCAGGAAGCAGAAGCAGGCAGGTCTCTTGAGTTCAGAGATATCCTGGTCTACATAAATCCAGGCTAGTCAGGGATACATAGTAAGACCCTATCTAAAAAAGGGGGGAGGGGCGTGCGGGAAAACACACTCTAGCAAAATCTAACAGCCTGCTGTTTGTTTTGTTTAATTTTCTTAGTTTGGTGTTGAGAAAAAAATTTTTTCACGTTTGCTTTTAATTAGGAAGTGTAGTAAGAAATACAAAGAAGGACCCTAAATTTGAGCAAGGCTCTTAGTACTTTTTGATGTGTTTATAAAAAGATAAAGAAAGAATATGTTCAATGGGTGTGTGGAGAGGTATGGGGGAAGGGGATCTCTCAGCGGGCCCATGCTGAGGCATCACCTCCCCCTGAAGGACCAGCCACACACCAGTAGAGAAGTAGAGGCCGGCCATGACCACGTGGAGAGGGGGGAAGGGAATGGGGAAGGGGCAAGGGGACAGAGGAGGAGCAAGAGGGCAAGAGATAGAGGAGGGGGTAAACAGCTCCTTTTATAGTGGGCCAGGCCTACCTGGCTGTTGCCAGGTAACCATGGGGGTGGAGTTTAAAGGGAATGCTAACACTTTTGCCTGGTGCCCACCCTATCTTGATCAACTTCTGAACGTGTTATATAATGGGCACTTATGAGTAAGAAAAGTGCCACAAGGCTTTTTAAACGATTAAACACCCAAACGGATTAATTGCAATTCTATGAACTTCTAAAGCCACACTAATTTGCTCAGTTATTTTGTGATCAATACACTTATTTTCAAAAAAGAAACAACTATTTAAAGCAAACGTTCTACATAGTGGTGCATGCAAACCAAAATCATGTGTTGAAAAAATGAACAATCTACGCTTATGCAAGAAGTTACCCTTGAAAATGAACTGATACAAAACATCTACGAATACCTGGCAAACATGCAGCAAAGAGCACACTGCTACTGTTTCTAATTTTCTAACTTTAAACTCAAACTAAATGGTTAAAACTGACATAAATGAGTGTATAATATACATAAATGCACTACAAAATATGCTGGCATGTTACTGTACCTAGAGGAAGGTGAGTTTGGAATAGGCAAGACAACTTGCTAAAAGTTACAGTATAATTACTTGCTCTTATCTCTGCATACAAATCCAAACAGAACCGCTACACTGCGAGCAAGAATTGTAACAAGTCAGATGATCCCGGAGAAACTTGCCCTGCTGGAATAGCTAAGCCCTTAAGCACGTGGACAATGGGCCGCTTTATTTGCATGGCCGCACTAGACTGGGCTAGTGACTGATCGGTTTAATGGCGAAAACTGCAACCCCACATAATAATCATCACCTGCCTCACGCTGGAAAACCATTCAAGTCACTACGCAAAGTTGGTTTTGTTTCTCTCTTTTTCTTTTAAAAAGATACCCTAGCCATTCAAGCAAAGATGCGAGAGCGGTCGCCTTGGCCTCGCAGCCGGGAAGATGAGGAGCCCGAGAACCCAGCAAGCCAGCTTCGTCTCGGGAGCACGCGCAGACACCCCGAGACCGCCCCACCGCGGAGGAGCCTCGGCGCCCTCGGGCCTGAGCCCGCCGCTTCCCGCCCGCGCCGACCCGG